TATATACGTAATCGTCAATATGATTTTTGTGAGACAATGTTCAGTTGCTTATTCATTTAGGCAATACTATTAAAGTCCTGATGTTATAACCAGAATCTCCCGACAAAGAGCGAGACAAATGTGTATAGATCTATACGAGATTGACAATCCCGCACTCAGACTGCTACAGTTAGGCTGGTATACCTACGAGTGACAGATGTCGTTAACAGTTCTGACGTCTACAAAGCGTCATATTAGGCCATCTAGTCATAACATGGTTATAATAACTCACAAAAAGATATGAACAAATGCGATTAGTGTATAACTAATTAAACCAAAGAGTACAAATACAAAGTATTGGTTTTACAATAATACGATTTACAATATTACATTACAATTTACAATTACAGCTGGTGGAGCCAGGCATACTCACTTTTACAAGATTTTCAAAGAGTACAATTACAGAACTTGGAAAACATAAACAATACAGAAAATGTTCTTTTTATAGTTTTATTGTGAATTAAAACTATGTTACATTACTTTATAGTACAACAACACTTATATAGAACGGTATTATGGTATTAAAACTACTTTTCAGTTATATTAGAAAATATTGGATTTTCTGGAACAATAAACATGATTACTATTTCAAGAAACAAACAACAAGCTTCTAAACATAAATACTTATGCACTCACCAACTTAAATGTTGATACTCTCTTTTTCAAAATATTTGTATTCTCAAGGAACCAGTAGACAAATACATCCCCGGGATTTTGAGAAGACGGAGCTGTATAGAGTCATGTCTTCTATCTTTTGCTATATAACTTTTGATGTCATATATACAATGACTTGAACACTATGTAAAACTTATACATTATTAATGCAATGGTTGTTGTACTTTGATTACTATGATGTATGTGTTGCGATACTTAACATAACGTCATCCACCCCCGGACGTTTCCGCCGCTCCGGTTTGAGGGTGTGACAAATTTGGACTCTTATGGTGTTAGATTATTTAATTTTGTCCCCGATAGAAGACATGGGCCGCCAGTTCCTGGTAGTTTGAGGTGCATTATTAGTGGTAACGATGTAAGTGGAGCCACTTATGACGTTGTTGTGTTTTCAAAGTCAGGTTTTGCTCAGCGGGTAAGCAAGCTTCACGTAAGTTACATGCCTTTGTAGTATCCACTTCTATTTCCATACGGTGAGGATGGCTGGTGTCCTACATTGCGTCTGTGCACCAGTTCTGACTCAGGAGATAGGAATTTATCAAACAATATGTTCTATAGCTATTAGGTTCATGAGTGTCATTATATTTACTCTCTTATTTTACATGTCTGGCGCATTTTTCATCAATTTTTGGTTGACGCGTATACTTGCATTGAGAAATCTAGTCTTAATTACTTTGAACACCATCAAGAACGGTTGTGTACTGAGTACATAAGTGGTGTTTGTGATGCTTTATCTAAGGGAGACACGGATAGCCGTGTCATTGGTAAGCGTATATTATTGCCTTCATCTTTTGTTGGCGGACCTATATACATGTATAAACACTACCAAGATGTGTTGGACATATGTAGAGTCCATGGTAAGCCACACCATCTCGTCACCTTCACTTGCAATGTTCGGTGGCCTGATACAGAAGATACATGGATTACGTTGGTCAAAATGATATTCAAAACAGATTAAATATCATTGCTCGAATATTCAAGATAAAGGTACATGCTTTCATAAACTTTCTTAAGGAGGACAAGACTTTCGGGGATATCGATGCATGTAAGTTACTGTATTTTTGTCTCAAATTTTTGTTAAAGTTCTATATTTGATTTTCTCCGGTGTTAACCATTGTTCATGTCTTTTGTTTTCATGCACAAATCTTTACACCATCGAATTTCAAAAGAGAGGCCTACTGCATTGCCACACCCTACTATGGGTTGCACTGCCTTCTAAGATTCACGAAAGCGGAGACATAGATAAGTACATAATTGCATATTTGCCTGATCCCACTCTCGAGCCCGCACTATATAGAACTGTTACGACATGTATGTTGCACGGTCCATGCAGTTTGCTAAATAGTGGTGCTCAATGTATGCAAGACAACAAATGTAAAAAAATGGTTTCCCAAACCATTCAATTCGTTCACAAGTTTTGATGAGAATGGGTATGTTCACTACAAAAGATGTACTGGCGTGTATCACGTTGTACAGAGTGGTATACGCCTTGGCTATATGGTACCATACAACAAACGTTTGTGCAACCGTTTTGATGCTCACATCAATGTTGAACATTACGATTGAAATATGATGATCAAGTATTTATTCAAAAACGTATAGAAGGGAGTTGAGCGTGTTCGTTTCTCTCTTCAAATATCTGAAGCATATACTTAGGGATGAGCAAAAGGACCGAACCGGCCCGAACCGGCCCGAACCGGACCCGACCCGGGAACCGGCTTCGGCCAAAATCGAGAACCGAACCGGCCCGGCGGTTCTACCGGTTCCCGGTTCCTATCGGTTCTTGTCGTGTCTTCAAATGTTGGAACCGGTCCTCGAAAAATAGCATCATACGGTTCCGGTTTTTGCCGGTTCTACCGGTTTTTGCTGGTTCTACTGGTTCCTGTTATATCGGTTCCGGTTCCTGGTTCCAAAAATCCACAAAAATAACGTCCCGGTCCCGGCCCGACCGGTTCCATCGGGTTCCGGTGCCGGTTCCGGTTCCGGTACCGGTTCCGGCCGGTTCCCCGATCCATATGCTCATCCCTACATATACTGCATCTTATTCCTCTGTGCCACCGGTTGTTGTTGATGATATCAAATGTTTTCATGATGGTCGATTAATATGTTCGCATGAGGCTGCATGGAGAATCCTTAAATTTTCCATACAAGAATGTCATCCACAGGGTTCTCGTTGTTCATTTGGAAGGGATGCAGTGTACCGTTTTTAAAGAGAACACTCAGTTAAGTTCTATTATTGACATTTTAGGTTTTGGTTTTACAACACTAACATAATGGATGCGAAAAAACCAACAAGATTGATGTGGGCTTAATTTGACATACAGTGAATATCCTAGAAAATATCAGTGGGACGTGACTGCTAAGGGATGGTTTTATAGGGCTATTATAGAAAATACGATCACAACTAACACAGGTATCGGTCGGCTTGCATATGTAAATCCGATTGCTGGGGAATTGTTCTATCTGTGAATTTTGTTGTGCAATCAAAAGGGATGTAAGTCCTTCTGTGATGTCTGAACCATTCGTGGAACAACACGCCAAACATATCGAGACGCATGTGAAGCTTTAGGGCTAACCAACAATGATAAGGAATGACTAACGACTTTCAATGAGGTGGCCAATTGGGCAACTTCGCCAGAGCTACGTTCTTTCTTTTGTCACCTACTTTTATTTTGTGAGTAGAAAATCTACTTCTATTGTGGGAGACAACAAAGTCGAAGATGGGAAACGACATAACCTATGCATACAGTTGTGACACCTCATCTTCCAATACTATTGTACATGTAACAACAATAGAACAACATATACTTCTCGAGATTCAAAGGATACTGCTTGCATCAACACTATCAAAAACACTTACAGATTTCAGATTACCCATGTCATCCCCATCCGTTCTTTCCATGATCAGGAACCGCCTTATGCTTGCGAAGCTAATCACAACACATAACTACTTCTCTCCTAACATGCATCCAAGGTATCACAGTTAAACCCTGAACAATTGAAAATTTATCAAGATGTTGTTGATGCAAAACGTGAGCTAGGGTTTCTAACGAAGATGCAGGAGGAAAATAGAAGATTTGTTCTTCCTTTTTGCTCCAGCGATGGCGGCTCCAGAGATCTGGATTCAACAGCTCCAAAGAAAAAGACGAGGAGGGAGACGAATGGGTAGAACCGTAGAAGGGATTTGGGGGAAAGGGGAGGCGGCAACGGTGGGATGGGGTTTTTTTGGTGGAGTTATTCATTTTTCTTTTTTTTTTAATCAAAAAATGATAAATAAATAAAATAAAACTAAAATAGAAATTATCAAGGGCAAAATAGTCATTTTATGTCTGTATCCGAGTGAAAAAAATGATAATGTAGGGACGGTCCAGGTTAATTTTTGAAAATAGGGACCGAACGTGCCTTTTGACACCTTCACGATGGACGATTCGTGTAATTTACTCTTAAAATAAGAAATAAATGTGTACCATATGTCATTTAAAAGACATCCCACTTCACATTAGAACTAATGTCGAAATATCATATTTAGAAGGGGTTTGGGATTGCTTTTCAAAACAACTTATTTGCTTATTGGTTTTTCATAATAGTTTTTCCATAAGCAAATAAGTCAAAAAAAAAAGTATTTGACAAACTCAAAAACACTTTTCATAATAGTTTTTTCATAAGCTTCAAAAAAAACACTTTTTAAAAAGCATGTAAAACATGGTTTTTTGAAACTTGACTTTTTAATTAAAATAACTTCAAAAAACACTTTTTAAGCTAAACAATTTTTAACTTATTGAATTTTCACCATAAAAATTAATCCAAACACTTTTTAAAAAACTTTTTTTTAGTACCATTATAAGCCAATAAACATTTTTATCTAAAAACACTTTTAAAGTTTAAAAAACACTCCCAAACACCCCTTCAAAAATCCCCTTCAAAAATATTCAATACGATCCATCAAAAATCGAAACGATTAGTGATTACAAAAACCACCCTATCTTCATACCAAACTCCAACAAAAAATGACTTATGATATAGAATTTGAATCTTTAGAATGCATACTAAATATGTTAGGTACCGATTAAAATCGAAACCAATATCTTCAACGAAATTGGTATCATCACTTGTACAAAATCAAAACCAGGATTTAAGAAAAACACATTATCTAACAAAATTGTAAAACCAAAACCAGGATTTAATAAAAACATAATAGTCAACGAAATACAATTTTGTGATTTCGACAAAACTAACGGAAGTTTAGTAACCGAGACGTCGAAAGGGGTGGGGGGTTTATGGAGGGCTTTAGGCCGAACAAGTCAAATGTTAAATAGTATGGTTTCTTGTTCTTCAAGCTCGTCAATGGCGGTCGTTCACACTGCCCAATTTTCACATTAGCTTGAAAATTAACCAGGGCAAAGCCACAACCATCACGGAATCCCCATTTCTTCATCATCGATTTCCTCAAGTCCCCATGTTGAAGGCATTAAGGTCTTCTTCGTTACAACAAGCTCGATTTACTACAGGGGCGTCGTATTTGCAGTCTAGTTCACGCCATGGAACCAAATTGACTTCGTCTTTTAATGGCGTGCTGCGCTCTGTTCTAGCGGATAAAAACCCTAAATTGTTTCAACGAATTTTTTTTTGTTCGGATTCGAGTGATGGATCTGGGTCCGTGCCCGAATCCGCCCTTGAAGAAACTGAGTCGAAATCAGCAGCGGCGATTGTTCCCACATCAATCAAAAAACCAGATGACTTTCTCACGGTTATCCCTTAATCGACTTGTTCATATTTTTATCTACTAGATTTATTTCATTTGCAAAATCAGAGATTCATTTCTGCTTGAGATATTCGTAATGTTTGACTGCTACATGGGTTGTGATTGATATTCGTAATGTTTGACTGCTTGAGATAATCGTAATTTCGTGTGTATATACCTATTGGACTTGTTAAATTTGGAACCATATCCATAAATAGCAGTGAAACCATTTTCAATTTTCCAAAAAACTGAATCTTTCATCTTCCTTTTCTATTTGCAGGTGTTAGCATTGCCATTGCCACACAGACCCTTGTTTCCAGGATTTTATATGCCAATATATGTGAAGGATCCTAAACTACTAGCAGCATTGGTAGAGAGTAGGAAACGACAAGCTCCTTATGCTGGTGCATTTCTTGTAAAAGATGATCCAGTATCAGAGGCCACAGGTTCAGATACAGAGAAGAACATATATGCACTAAAAGGCAAAGACTTACTTAATCGCCTCCATGAAGTTGGTACACTTGCTCAGGTATTTGTTGTGATGGAACTGTTGTTAATCTATTATTCTAAACTTGTTGAGATTTCAAATAACTTATAACACGAGTTATCAACATTTGATTCTTGTAATTAGATCACAAGCATCCAAGGAGAGCAGGTTGTTCTTATTGGTCACAGGCGGCTTAGGATAACAGAGATGGTCAGTGAAGATCCCCTTACTGTCCAAGTGGATCATATCAAGGTATCATCACATCATATCCTAAAATATATGGAGATGCAATAAGTTGGAATCTAATTTCATCATTATCATACTCTTTGGTGAAACTTGAATAAGGATTTTCTCTGTATTCCAGGATTTACCATACAGCAAGGATGATGATGTCATAAAGGCAACTTCATTTGAAGTGATAGCAACCCTTAGAGATGTTCTCAAGACAAGTTCTCTTTGGAGGGATCATGCTCAAACTTACACTCAGGTTATTAGCTGACTTTTTTTAATAGTTGCACTAATTATAGATACTTATTGAGAACAATAACTATATTTCTGAATTAACTTTTTTCTTTCTTTGTTTTCATTTTTGGTTGAATTGCTTATATTCTGCAGCATATGGGTGATTTTAATTATCCAAGATTAGCTGACTTTGGTGCTGCAATATCTGGTTCAAACAAAGTACAATGCCAGCAAGTGCTTGAAGAGCTGGATGTAAGTCACATTTAATGTTCCATAAAGGTTTTCTGCTTCTTTTTACCCGAGTAAGTTTCTCAAATATCTTGTTCTCATTTTTACATTATATTCAATCTAGGTTTACAAACGGTTGAGACTTAGTCTTGAGTTATTAAAGAAAGAAATGGAGATACATAGGATTCAAGTAAGTCCTGGTAGCAATTTTACTTATATATTTCTTTTAAGAAGTTCTTTATTTCTTGATGCCATTTTTTTGGTTTACTTTTAGGAATCCATAGCAAAAGCTATTGAAGAGAAAATAAGCACCGAACAACGCCGTTACTTGTTAAATGAGCAATATAAGGCTATAAAAAAGGTGGCTTCTGTTACTAATTCTTTGTCTCTCCATTTATTTGTCTTGTAGTATCATTGTTCTTTATGCTTCATTTTATGTTAGTCTTGTGTTCTTCATTTAAAACTCAAAAGTTGGCTTGTGTTGTGAGATTATGTATCCTTTCAGAATTTAATATGATACATGTTACCATTCTACAGGAATTAGGGCTCGAGACAGATGATAAAACAGCACTCACTGGTAAAATTCTTGTATTTGTTCATATGGAATATTAATTTTAACTTAAATAACTCATAATCTTGAAATTATGTACTGCAGATAAGTTTAGAGACAGAATCGAGCCAAACAAGGATAAAATCCCACCTCATGTTCTGCAAGTTATTGAAGAAGAAATGAAAAAACTGCAACTTTTGGAAGCCAGTTCAAGTGAATTCAATGTTACACGTAATTATCTTGATTGGTTGACTGCCTTACCATGGGGTAACTACAGGTATGTTAACAAGCCTTCTGCTTTTGAGTTTTGACCAATTATGTTATAAGTAAAAGTTGACTTGTTTAACCAACTTCAGTGATGAGAACTTCAATGTTGTACAAGCTCAACAAATTCTTGATGAGGATCATTATGGTTTGACTGATGTTAAAGAGAGGATACTGGAGTTTATTGCAGTGGGAAAACTAAGAGGAACATCACAAGGTTAGTTTTTTTTTTTTTCATCTATGCTTCAACTGTGAAATGCAAAACTTATAATTTTTTTTTGTTGCAGGAAAAATCATCTGCCTTTCTGGTCCTCCTGGAGTGGGTAAAACCAGCATAGGTCGTTCGATTGCACGTGCTTTGAACAGAAAATTTTATCGGTTTTCTGTTGGTGGATTGTCTGATGTGGCTGAAATCAAGGTCAAAAAGAGTTTTCATTAATACACTTGATTATTAGAAGTGGCATTTTTTGTATTAACATTTAAGATTGTTTTATACCAGGGACATAGGAGGACTTATATCGGTGCAATGCCTGGGAAAATGGTGCAGTGTCTGAAGAGTGTGGGAACAGCAAACCCTCTTGTTCTCATTGATGAGATTGACAAGGTATGATTTTGATTTGAGAGTTGGAAAATGTTCCATTAGTTTTAAGTTATGTGACAAGTGTTTGATTGTTTGTGTTTGTTATGTTGGGTGCAGTTGGGCAGGGGACATGCAGGTGATCCTGCAAGTGCTATGCTGGAGCTGCTTGATCCAGAGCAGAATGCAAATTTCTTAGATCATTACCTTGATGTTCCAATTGACTTGTCAAAGGTTAGTGTTTCTTGTAACTTGTAATGATAGATTGCTTTAAAGTTTAACCTTTACTAGTTACAACTTACAATGGATGGTTTTCTTTCTGCATTCTCGCACAGTTATGATTCTAGTAGATTTAGTTATTAATTAATGTGTCTTCATTTAGCAACTGATCAGTTAGTTAAGCATTCCTATAATGTAGGTGGACTAATTGAACTGTGAAATATATGTTGTAGGTTTTGTTTGTATGTACAGCAAATGTAGTGGAAACTATACCCAATCCACTCTTGGATAGAATGGAGATAATCCCCATTGCTGGTTACATTACTGATGAAAAAATGCATATTGCCCGTGATTATTTGGAAAAGACCACCCGTGATGCATGTGGCATCAAGCCTCAACAGGTCTCTCTCTCTTTCTCTCTAAGTTAATTAAAAAGATGATAGTTAATATCTGATATGAATTCTGTATATCTGCTTCAATTGCTATACAATATACATGATACAATACTCGGTTTTGTTGTAACCCAATAAACAGAGTAATATATATATATATATATATATATATATATATATATATATATATATATATATATATATATATATTGATAATGAATAACTGATCTCATTTTGAAAATATTCCAGGTTGAAGTGACAGAGGCAGCTCTTCTTTCCTTGATAGAAAATTACTGCAGAGAAGCAGGGGTTCGGAATCTACAGAAACAAATTGAGAAGATTTATCGCAAGGTTTGCTTTGCTGACTTCTTATTTGATAATTTTAATGTTTCAACAGTGTGAAATAGCAACTTACGTTCATTAGTTTATTTCATTTCTTCCTATTACATTTACAGCATTACTGTTCTTTGAATTATTTACCCAGTTATAGCAATATCATCTAAATACCAAGCAATTTTCACTCCTATAATCGAATAAATTTGTTAAAGTACAATGCCTTGTTAAGAAAAAGAATACAATGTTGAAATAAAATGAAAGTACATTGCTATTTCCTGTAGATTGCTTTGCAACTAGTCCGACAAGGAGCACAAAATGAGCCAGAATCTGTTGGTGAATCGAGTGAAACTTCATCTGACAAGCAAATCGAGGGTGCAACTGAATCAAACAAGAGCAATGATGAACCAATATCTGATACTACTACAGAAGAAGCTGAAGTTGTCAACATCAACGATTCAGCTACTCTTGCTGACGAGGCTTCTGCTTTAAAGGTTGCCAATTCTAGCATCCTACTTTCACTCCCCTTCTTATTATTAGTAGTACATCATATACTTTGAAAGTACATTGCTAATTTTGTGATCATTCATTCCAGGATACGGAAGCAACAATTACAATAGATAAAGTTTGGGTGAATGAAGATAACCTTGCAGACTATGTGGGAAAACCGGTTTTCCATGCTGAACGCATGTATGACCAGACCCCATTGGGAGTTGTCATGGGCCTTGCGTGGACTGCAATGGGTGGGTCCACCCTTTACATAGAAACCACCACGATCGAACAAGGTGATGGAAAAGCTGCCCTGAATCTAACCGGGCAGCTTGGTGATGTGATGAAGGAAAGTGCCCAGATTGCCCACACTGTTGCCCGAGCAATATTGGCGGGAAAAGACAAGGAGAATAATTTTTTTGCAAATTCAAAGCTTCATTTACATGTCCCTGCTGGTGCTACACCTAAAGATGGGCCTAGTGCTGGCTGCACCATGATCACTTCCATGCTGTCTCTTGCAATGAACAAGAATGTTAAAAGGGACCTTGCCATGACTGGGGAAGTTACTCTTACAGGAAGAGTCCTTCCAATTGGTGGGGTACGTATGCATAACTAAATTAGTAATAATCATTTTTTTTTTTACTTAATGGAGACACGACTTATTTTTTAGGTGAAGGAGAAGACGATAGCTGCAAGACGTAGTGGTGTGAAAACTATAATATTTCCTTTGGCTAATAAACGGGACTTTGATGAGCTGGCACCCAATGTGAAGGAAGGTCTTGATGTCCATTTTGTGGATGATTACAATCAGATATACGATTTGGCTTTTGATCACACCCAACAAAAATAAGCAACCCGTCATTTTGGTAATGATTTATTTATCTTTCCAATACCCGCATACAGAGACCTGACCCGACTTTTTTTTTTTTATTTTTTTTTTTGCATATACTTGTTGTTCTATTGTATTTGGTGCACTTCAATTTTTTGAATGTTACATTATTACACTTGTAACATCACTAACGTGCATGATGATGGCATTCAATGAGGATGCTAAATAAGTTGGTTCCCTGAGTTTATCTAGCACGTTGTGTCTTTAACTATATCGCATCTATCTTTAACAGATTAATGAGACCTTATGTGCAACTAAGACCAACCAACGATAGAGAATCAAATAAAAATATGATCAATGAACGACAACAATATAAATGAGCAATGTCACACGCTCACACTTCATTATGGCAACAACTTATTAAACTGTAACTTCCAAACACTAAGAAATTAGGAGGGATTGAAAGATTATGCCTTCAAGGAATGAAACAAATCAGTTGGAAGTGATTCCTTTGAAAAATGAAGATTAAACGTAAACGAACCTTAATACATAGAAATTCACACCCCTTGGCTCCAATTTGATATGCTTCTATCATCATGGCTTGGGCAACAAGACACTTTTTAAGGACACTTTGACTCTTATGCGAAATCCAAAAGCCGAATTTAATACCTTAGTATGCACCAATTCGTCCACATTTTCCACGACACTTTCGTGGTGGCGAAAACACACTTTTAGGTCGACACTCAAACATTTACCATATTTTTAGTGTATTAGTCACGTGTACACTTGAGACTTATAACTATAAGTTATTGTAATGCATGCCATAACACATTTTATTCCTTATGTTAAGGGATATGGTTACTATCTATCAACCCACTAGAAAAATGTTGTCACATCGTGTCACATCATCTCCACTACAAGTACTATTTTGAAATGTTTACCACTCCATATTATTAATCTTTTTTTGACACTACGTTAAATAAAAAACATAATTTAAAACATAAATAAATATTTTACATTAATTAAAAACCCATTACATTATTAAAAAACATAAAAACTTAAAACCTAAATTACTAAAAAACCATAAAAACATAGAAATTTAAACATAAACTTGAACATATCGATGATCATCCAAGCAGAATACCTAGTTCTCCCCCACTTAGGGTTCGAACTAGTACCCACTGGTGTTGCAACTAAACCATATCTCAAACCGGCTTACCCAAGTACCAACCATCCCTGACCTTTGGAAGGTAACACACACAAGATGATCTTCCAGACCCGGGTCAACGAATCCCAAGAGAATCCTGAATTTTAGCTGAAGGCCTTAGAAATACCCAATTATCACCACTTTGTGTTAAGGGTTTCACACAAAAGCATAAGCAACTACCGGCTTACGGTCCAACATACACTTCTTGCCTGTAATCCCAAATGACAACCCGACACATGGCTTTCTACATCCCAAGAATACGGCCCTTACTCGCATCGCTAAGGTACTAGTGCCACATCAAACCACTTGCGCACACCAGCGCTGACATGTCTTCGCTAACAACCGCGACCAACATACCTCAAACTGAGAATCCAACCTAATTTGGGAGGTCACAAGCCTGCCCACTCCTTCTAACTCGGAAATCTGAAGGGCAAGATCCTTGCCACCAATAACGACTATCTAATCCGACAATCTGCCACTTAAATTCCAGATGCAATTCCAAACCGATCATATCAACCGCTTCCTCCCTGTGTCTCGAGGCCCGAGGTACGACCTCTAACAAAACCCTCGAGACTTCCAATCAACATACTCATCTAGGTCTGAACCACTCAACCCACATCGATTTCGCCACAGGGTCTGAACAACCACAACACGCATCCTCGCCTGAGCAACCCAAGCCAAAAGATCGATAGATACGGAACCACTGCCTCGAACCATGGTATCCAACCATGCTATCTTCCATGACCAGCCCTTAGATTCCCCGAAATCTTCCTTAAATCGAGCATGGATCCTGTGCTTTCAGTAGTACGAGCCCAATACTACCTTCCACACCTATCCATACTTTCCTCAAGAATTATCTCGGGTCCTCTACGACCTAGTCACAAAATATTCCTGAAACCTGCTCAACAGCGAAACAACCGCACTAAAGGACTCCCTAGGCTATCCTAGGGTTCCACACTTCTCTACCATCAGCCGCTGAAGAACTCACAATGTCAATTAGCCATTCCATGAATACAATCACATGAGACAAAGCTCATATAATCCTTCTAGTAACAGACTCATCCCTACAACGGTTGCACTCAGACAAGAGCTGTGCAACAAGGTCAAATCCGTCACTCTGAGATTATCCAGCCTTTTTCACATGTGACTTGACATATTCACTTAATGGCTAACTCTCATCACTCATGAGTTCCACAAAGCACAAAACAAGCAGCATTCGTGCAGAGGAGACGACTGACACTAAATGCAATAAGATCTGACAGATCCTTCTATGAAATCCTCGATCTCAGACTCCTAGAATCTCGCGTGCATCTTCGCTCTGCCATCACTCTCCCAGGAGTGGCTAATCCTTCCTTATGTCGACCCGCTATGAACCGCGCCTAAGCCAGGGAAACCACCGCTACCTCATCCAAAAACGCGACTGGCCGGCTGACCCCATAAGACACACCATACCACGATTGCCATACGACCCTCCATTGGTGTCAAATAACCATCGCATGTATACAATCACATGCCCCACATTTTAAACAATATTAGGCTAAAAGATTCGATCCCACAACGGTTAGACTCAAACGAGAGCTGCGCAACAGAACCCAGCCCTTCAGCCTAAGATCCTTTAAACCATATAGCATGTGATTTAGCGTATCCATTCGATAGCCAGTTCACACACGAAAGAGTCACATAACAGCCAAACAAGGAAACTCTATAGGAACTAGGGGATCACATAATCAAACAATTCTATCATGGAATTCCTGAATATCCCTAGCCTATTACTAGCATGTTGTTCTAAATATCACAATATCAAATAACAATATGATATTTTGGGGTCTACTTACTGGCTCCAGCTGATCGTACACATCACATCCTCCTTAAGTATTTTGAAAACCATTTGAAAATCATTTTGAAAATCATTTTGAAAATCTTTTTCCTTAGTTTGAGACTGGATTGACACGAGTGTTCCTCCAATTCACTCAAACCAAGGCTCTGATACCAACTTGTAACGTCCTGAAAATTTCAACAAAACTTAAACTTTTCAAAACGATCCTTTCACTAATAAAATGTTTACAAAAATAGTGTTCTCAAACATTATTTGAAAATCAGAGTTTCCCAAGATCCAATATGTTGTAAAACCAAGGATGTGTACGATCACGCCTTCACCTTGCCAAAACATCTGAAGCACCAGAAACAATAAATTGAAACCGTAAGCACACAACTTAGTGAGTTCCCCCAAAGTACCAACACACAAACAGATAACATATACCAACAAACAACATACTATGGGTTCAATCAACCATCGGGTTGGAATACCCTAGGCCCTCAACCATCGGGTTGGAATGCCAACATACTATGATTCCAATCATCCATCGGGATGGAATACCCCAGGCACTCAACCATCGGGTTGGAATGCCAACATACTATGTAACACCCATAAAATTCAAGCCAAATTTAAATTTTTTAACACATTTTAAAACCGTTAAGTTATTACAGGTTGTTTTCAAAATAGTTTAGACATCAGAGTATTCCCAGAATCAATCATGAAAATATGAGGAGGTGCATGATCACGCCTTCGCCTTCCCGCAATCATCAGAAGTGCCTGAAAAAATATCAACAACTGTAAGCCCGAAGCTTAGTGAGTTTCCCCAAAATACCAACGCCATACAAACATAACCATATCATATAACCAATACAGAACAACATGCATAATGAGTCATCAGCCTGACTGGACCGCCTCACAGGCCTTCAGTCTATCTGGACTGCTCTTCGAGCCTTTGGCACGTCTGGACCGCCACGCAGGGCCTACAGCCTATCCGGACCGCTCGCCGGGTATGTTGGCCTACAACACAAAGCAGGACCGCCTCAACCCAACCCCCAATCAAAAAAACATGTGCACATAAATATCATACGCTAGCTCATTTCATATAACAGTCAAACCAATCTAACAGATCACCAATCATAGCAACATCCCAATAACCGGGATACAGACCTAACCGGTCACTAACATAGCATCATCCTATAACCAGGACAATCATGTGCACATAGACATCATATAACACTAGCATGTATATATATAACAGTCAAACCGATCTAACAGATCACAAAGCATAGCAACAATCCTATAACCAGGATATCGACCTAACAGGTCACTAACATAGCATCATCCTATATACCATGATACCGACCCAACCGGGTCACTAAAGCATAGCATATCACCATCCTAACTACCAGGATATAAATCAGTAAGCATAACATGCAATAATCCGAATACAATCCATAAAGGGCCGGCCTTGGTGCCTTAGACCCTGTTGATATAGTGAGGAGAACTCACCTGGCACTGCTGAAGTCCCGCAGGTACGCTCCAGCTGCTGATTGACAGGTTGCCGAACTGTCAACATCAAACAATACCCAATTAATAATTGGGTTCCAAGCTCAAAGTCCAACTCACACTCTAAAAGCCCAAAAGTCAAGTAATGGGCCAAGGCCTAACATATGGCCCAATCTTCCAAATTGGGCCCAAGTCCTCACATGGGCCTTATCCTAAAGCCCATCTAATTACTTTGGTCCATTAACTTGTTCTTGGATGGTCCATCAATAGTCTAACCACCAAAACCCTATAGGAAGGCCCAAATCAAGGCCCAAGTGAATTTAGGGTTTCACATGAAATGATGATTAGGGTTAAGTGTTTCTTACTTAACCCATTAAGGACTTAATCCAATAAGGACTTAATCCATTAAGTACAATATTGCTTAGATTAATCTTTGCCAATGATTATTATTTAATATTTCAAACTATTAAATAATTCCCATGTGTGTGTTCCGATTAATTCTCAAAGTTAGGGTTTTATTGGCATTAGGGTTTACCAAACCCTAATTAGGGTTTCCAATCCATTTTCTAGCCCATTTATCAATTTGTTGGGCTTTTAGGTCAATTAGGGCTTTATT